AGACTTTGCAACTTAATTATTGCTATTTTAAAAGTATTTCATAATTACATTAATATGAAATTTTAAAGTTTAATAATATTTTATATCCACCAGAACTTTAGATATATACATGCACGAATAGAGTCTGCACTAAGACCACATCTCTTAACAGAAATTAAATCAGTTCTTTCAGAAAATATTCGCTCTACTGGGATACTAGTAGCAGTAATTACAAGATAATCTCTAGCCATTCTAGCCAAATTGGGATATTTAGCTTTATGCATTTTCTACTATTGAAGAATATCTTGTTTTCTCATTGCCCAAGAAGCTTCTAGATATAACTCAACTTCATTTTGTTGATTAATTTTTTGTTTTTTTTTATAAATATAATCTAAAAGCAAATCATTATCATTATCTATATTATCTTGATCATAATTGGTAGCTTCATAGGAAGATGATTCATAATTATTTTTATAGATTTGAAGAATAGTTGCTTTAATGCCATTGATAAAATCTTTGCTCTAATTATTTTCTTCATAATAATTCAATTTTAGTCTTGGATCAAGAACAGTTATAATAATATAAATAGCCATATTGTTTGTTTTTGAATAATATGATTCTAACTTTATCAATTCTGCATTTACTGCAATGATTATTTCATGAGAATAATTAGGATTATTGTGATGTTTTGTGAGTTTATCAATTAAATAATTATATATTAGTATAATAGAAGCAAGTATTAGATATTTTGCTAATTCAATCATTTTGGTTGTTTGTACAAATATTTCTAAAATGGTTACAACCTCTCTAATTTTATTCTATTCATGAATATCAAGTTGTAATAATTAAAGATCCTTATCTAAATGTGTAATTGCATCAATTGCATTATGCATCACTAGCGCTCATACAAGCATTTCATAAATGGAGTTTCACCTAGTCTTAATATCCAATATAAGATTATAATTCTTAAGACCAGCAGCTTTAACTTGATACATAAATCATTCACGATGCTATGATGGTAATCTAATTTTAACTATAAGTTTTCAAAGTTTCAGAATTATATTTTTAGCCATTATAGGTGTGTTCATATCATTAAAGATAGCATTTTCAGTTTGTGCTTTGCCAGCCTTGAATTGTTTAAGAATATCTTGCATGGCCAGGTTTATAATATGAGCAATGTATCTACAATGAGATTCAACAGCATTAAAAGTGATATTCTCATTATAATATATATTTTTCAGATGTTGCATAAAAGTATCATTGTTTGTAGCATTATTACTTGTAATTGTAAAAATTTTTAGTATAATTTTAAATTCACAACAGCTACTAACAAATGCATCACACAAGTTCTCTCCTGAATAGGGACCATGAAGATTAATAAAATCCAATAAAATACTTTAAAGCTTCCAGTCTTTAGAAATCCAATGCATTGTGATGACAAAAAAAGAATAAATATTTGCTGATGTCCACACATCAATAGCAAATGAAAGTTTTCCTGGAACACTTTGAAGTAAGTATTTTATTTTTATGCTTTTATCTTTGAAACTTTTTATAATATTATTTCTAATTGTATCCTCTACAGGAATAGTTGCATTTGGATTTAACAGCTTTATCATTTGTCGAAAGTGTTTATTTTTAACAGTTATAAATAGCTAATTATCTAAGACTATCTATTTATTAAGTAACTTTTTAAAAGCTAATTGTATAAATTCAAATGGTTCTTCTTTTGATCTTGAATCACTGTCTGGATGGTAATGTTCAAGATGACACCAAAGATTTGTTGTATTGGAATCATTATTTTTGTATAACCATGTTTTTCTTTTATCTTCAGAATAGGCAAGACATACTATTTCTCAATGCGTATATGTTTTAGGATGTTCTAGTAAAAGATCACTTTCCTCAAATAGCCCTTCTAAAAAAAGCTTGCTATATCTTTTTTTAAAGGAAGTTGCTGTATCTTCACTATTGTTAATACTAGATGTGATAGAGGCAAGTGGCTGTGATTTATGTTCAGTATTATACATAAAATGTTCAAGCTCATATTGAGCAAAATTATAATTTTCGATTAAAGACATATTATTATTGATGAAAGATATGATAGTAAATGTTTTTAGAATTTACTTAAGTAGAGTGAAAAAATAACTAATTTTCTATTTTTCTAATATGCTTTATATATTTTACATTTGACTTAAATTAATTATATCAATTATATCAATCATATAATATTTAACTACTACTGATTTTGATATACTTTTCATTGATTACTCTTTAATTAATTAATTATTTGTGATTTATGTAATTACTTGAGGTTATATGTTAAATTTTAGGTTTTATATTCTGGAGTTGATTATCTGAGTTACTTGACTCCTTTCAGAGTACTAGTTTTAATAATTATTGCAAATTAGTCAGAAGCTGCAACATTTTGTCTAACATACAAATTAGCAAGCTCTAACTATTCTTGTCATTTTTGTTTAGTTAATAGAAAAAATTTAGCTAATTTAAAACTTACTAAACATGATTTAAAACTTAAAAATTATAAAAATATACTAAATTATTATAATATGAATGAAGAAAATACAGTTTGCATTAAATCAGTACAAAATATTTTTTAGAAATTTAAGTAAATATAAAATTATATTTAATTAAAATATTTTAAAATAATTCAAAATATTAAAAAGAATTTTAAAAATACCAAAATAATATATGTGAATATTTGTGAATATATACAAATATTTGTGAATATATATGAATATTTGTGAATATATATAAATAGATTTAAATGAATTCAAATTATTTTAAAAATTTGTGAATATTTTTAAAGCATTGCAAATAATTTAAAAATTTTTCATAATATTTTAAAACTTTGCAAAATATTTCAATATTTATTATATTATTAAATACTAATAAATAATTTAATTTATTCATTGATTTTAGTAATATTAACATATATGAAGCTACAATAATTAATAGATTCATCATTTAGATTTGGGATTATTTAATTATCAAATCACATTTACTTGCAATCTTTTGAAAGATCTATATAGAACTTC